CTTACCCAACGAAAACAGTTTTATTGTTAATTTTTATAATATAAATAGTTCAGATTTATTAAATATTGAATATAACGGAATACGAAGATTTAGAATTGGAAAATACACATCCAGAAATTGTTCAGAAAGCAATAGATGTTTGCTACCAAGCACATCAAGAGAAAAATATGAAATGGCTTACAGAAACTTTATGGACTGAAAAATGAAAGCCAAGGTAAATTCTTGTTCCGAAAATACCTTGTTAGTTTATTTTGAGGAGTTGTCAAGAAGATTGAAATCATCAACATTATGGTCTCAGTACTCGATGCTGAGGAGTACCTTAATTATTAAAATCTGTGTTGATATATCAAAATACGTAAAACTACGTGCATTTTTAAAATGCAAATCTGAAAAATATGCTTCAAAACAGTCAAAAACATTAACTTCTGAAGAAATTCAACAAATTTTTAAAAGATGCACCTGATGAAAAGTATTTGCTGATAAAGGTATGAATTGAAAATTTTTAAATTGTTATCGAAAAATTAATGTTTGGTTTTAATTTCAGGCTGCTTTAGCTATCTATTGGTGTTACAGGGGCATGCCGTTATGATGAACTTCGAAAATTAAAAATTGATGACATGGAAGATCTTAATTCGGCCCTTTTAATAAAATTATCCGATACTCTAGAAATTTCACAGTCCTAGGAGAATTCTATCAAATTTACAAAAAATATGTGAAGCTTCGATCATGCACTAATGGAACACGTTTTTCTTTTGAATTACAAAAAATAGCAAATGTACGAAACAGCCTGAGGGGATAAATAAATTTGGCACCAAGGCGAAAGAAATAGCGAATTTTTGCAATTACCGAATCCTGAATTATATACTGGCCACTGTTTCCGAAGGTCATCTGCGACTATATTTGTTATTGCAGGGGCAGATCTTTTAACTTTAAAACGCCATGGGGGTTGGGAATCCAGCAATGTTGCTGAATCTTATATCGACAACACCAAAGCTAACAAAATGAAAATTATAGTAGAAATGACATATTTCTCACTCGCTTGATTTGCGACTGAGAAATATATCGTTTTTCTCACTTGTACAATATACTATTTATTCTGAAAAGAAGCAAATACGTTCAAATTGAATAAGTATTATAGGTGATGTAATCGGACGATACTTGAATGAAAATCCATAACGTATTCAAGAAAGACTTTATTTTGAGATTCTCACTAAATAGTTTTACGAAAAAGCAACAACTGTTTCTGTATACAATAGCTTCTTTAGGCGTGTCTATACTAACTAAAATCTACACATTCAATGCTTTCTATATATTTTTACAACTTGAAGTATCTGAATTTTATGTACCTGTGTTTTATTTACCAATTTATGTTAAAAATCCGGTCACGATCCTATTACCATAATGCAGACCTGAACATTGCGTAGATAACAATCTTTGGGGATTTAAATAGATATACGCGGAATACCAGGTTAGAAATCACACGATAAAAGGTAAGACCTCGTTAGTCCTTATCTCGCACAAGTTTCGACTTTTGAGATTGTCGTTCGTAGGGGGGGCGACAGCTGGTTAACGGAATAACAGATTTTAACAGATCTTTCTATTTGCGGCTTGAGTTTTCTATTAATCCTATATCCTTTGTCTCACTAAGGAAGGATTGTTTCACTTGGAGATAAAATAGTCTAAACCTATGTAAATACAGTTATCTGAAGCGTCTGATGATTATTGGAAATTGATTTTTCAGGCAATCTTGAAATACCTCCATTATAGAATGAAAATAAAGTTTAAATATTAGCACGACTGTAACTTAGGTTTCAGGTCATTAAAAATTACATTGTTCATTTCCAATAAAATTTTGCAAGTTATTATTGCAATAGTAGCTGCGATAATTTTCATTAGATCGGTCGGTAGCCGTTGGGTTCCACGTGCTTTGTTCACTCACTCGAATTGATCGTAGTGTTGGTCGGTGGTTGAAGCCCCAGGCGATCGATTTCCACTTGCTATCGTCCAACTCGTGTTAGGAATCACACGTTGAAAGGTAAGACCTCGTTAATCCTTGGCTCGCATAAGTTTCGACTTCTTAGGGTTGTCTTTCGCAGGGGTGCGATAGCTGGTTAACGTGTAAACATATTTTTTTAAACAGACAGATCACAGTGACAAAATTTACATTTCATATCGATTCCAAGTAACTGAAACCCATCAGCATAAACGTGGTTGTATACCAGAAATACTAAAATAAAATAAATCTTTTATGAGGATGAATTTGCATCGAAAAAGTTACCCAATTCTTCATTCAATCTGTATCTGAGAGAACAATTTAAAAAATCATTCAATTTTCCACCCGACCGAAAAACAGACCCATAAAAAGCCGAACAAAAGACATTAGCTGAACCGCAATCAGTATAATTTCAATATTTTCCTCGAATTTTCCCTCCTTTCCAGCCCCTTTAAGTTAATTTTAATGCTGGATATTGGCAACATTATCCCATCCGAAAGCCAGTGCCAGATTGCTTCGAAACTATAAATCAACTTTTTATTACCCATTTATTTCTGGTTATTAATCGTTTGTCGGAAACTGCGACGGCAACTAGCAAAAAAATATCTTCGGTCTATTTCATATGTCATTGGTTTTAGACGCTTATCGATCTACGTAATATTACTTTCCTTTAATATAAGGCTAATTCGAATAATCACTGAAATTCTACTAGATTAATCCATTTAAAAAGTCGACCACAAGCTTGATATCGACTGAAATTGTCTTAATATGCCTGGCAGAAACTTAGCATAAAAAAGAAAAAAACTGTTGTAAAAACTCTGACAACTGTAAAAATTAACAAATATAGAAAATGACTGAATGAAATTTACTTTTATATTAACGTTAATACCTTCAAAGCTGTAATATTTCCTCCTTGGTGATTATCAAAATCACCAATTAGATCAGCACTACGTCCTGTTCATGTGAAGCGAGGCACAGAAAAAATCCTTCTGAAAAGTTCATCCTTTGTTCGAAATCCAGGCAATGTTACCATCTGTTTCATCAATCCCTTCAAGCATGCACACAGCATGTCTACCGATTCTGAATGTAACATCGTCGCAATCGTGGGTAAATATCCTCATTTCTCACTTCACGTTAATCGCTATATATTATAAAAGAAGAAGAATACTTGACACTAGTTTTTCTGCCAAACCGTAAAATGAATAAAATGAACAAATTGAACAATTGATATGGAATTTAAATAACAGTCAGAATTTTAGCTATGATTCACAGAGTACTGATCCAGACTGCCTAGATCTTTGGAAATAGAAATTTAAATGATTGGTATGTTACAATGTACAATTCAAAATTGGCAAAAAGTGTTTCTGTCTGTTCAAATTGCCTCGCAAACAGTTTTAAATGAAAAGTGCAAAACTGAAATGTTACAATATTTCGGAACTTTGACATGAATCCTGAAATTTGAATTTTGAAATAAAGTTTTCTCAATTCATTATGGTTTCCTTTTTCTGGAGATAATCTCAACATATGTCCCTCGTACACCAAACACAATTGACCAAATTAATGCTGTTCCATCATTTTAAAAATTTTGCTTTCAAATGCTTTCGTGTATAATAATTTGAGATAAAAAAAACACTTAAGTCATTTGCTTAGCAAAATTATGGATTTGCACATTACATTTCAACAGAATAATGAATGAATTCGAGTTATAATCCTTCAGTATTTTTAACTAATAATTAGCGTTGGTCCTCGAATATTATTGTTGAAACTCCACTGCATAAATGTTAACCAAAATTTGGAAAAATATTTCAACTATACCTATGGCAAATGATGCCTGAATATTGAACACAACCTTCATGAATGGGCTGATAAGGACAGCAATCCAAATTGGAAAAAACAGGTAAATAAATGATTTTTATTATTATTATTTTATTACCCATGTTCAACACGTGTTTAAATATTCATGAGAATTTTAATCAGCAAATTCAACTTATAATATGCTCTTGTTGGATTATGTTTGATCATGCATGTTACAAAAATATATACTTCAGTACCTACTCAAATCAATTTAGTTATTGTCTTTAGATAGCTGATTCAAAAAGTCGATGAATTCCATCCTGAAGTTTTCGCCAATACTGAAATTTGTGTCTATTCTTAAATGAGGAATGTGCTTGGAATCAGGCGATATCTGTGGCCAAGTTATATTGTACAAGAACGGATCGACTGTTGGTGTTGGATTTCTGAAACATAAAAAAAAGGCTTTGTAGCAGACTACTACTCAAAATAATATAATAAATAAAATGTTCGAATATTGAACAATAACAGATGAACATCCCACCTAAAAGTACTAATAACAATAACGATAGGTAATGATTTTTCAACAATTTCTGTTACATTTTCGTGAGCTTGTCGGGATTTTGGAAAGTATGTGCACGACTTCAGTGTTAAGATTGATCAGGAAAAATCTTTGAACGGTTTTGAACCATCAGTAATCAGTACCCAGGGCCTCGGATTCCTATACCAGGAGTTATGAATCTGTAAAGTAGAAAATTTCATCTCTTGAAGACGCCAACTTTTTTGGTGAAACGCGCTTCGAGAAGATTGTTTCAGTTCTGGTTTTTGGGAGCAGCACAGGTNGACAAAAAACTCAAACATTACTTATCCAAAATGAACGATTTGTAATGCAGTCTGTTGCAAATCCTAGCTGCGACATCGCTATCTACAACTTTCATTGAAAGGCAAATAGATGAAACCAGAACCCAAAAACAGTTTATGTCGAAACTTCGCTTTGCAACAGATCGCCGTGAGGTGTCTTTGATTTGTGAATCACTGAAAGGGCGTCATGGTCGAAGCAATATTTCTAAAAACATATTGAACTCACCTTTATAAATACATGGACTCTAAACAAAATTTCATCTTATTCAAATCATAAGAGTTACAAGGTGAAGCAAAATAAGAAACAGCTCAGTGAAATAACTTAAATGTAACTATAGAATATACAATTTAAAATTGTTACTTACGTTACATCAGAATGCAGGAAAAAATATCATTTATTCCAGGAAAGATAAATTAACTTGAGGGATGAAACTTATTTCCTATTCAACATTATTTTCAAAAAATTTATATCAAATACGGCTTCTGAAATTTTTCAAAAATGACCATAACTGAAACTAATGTTACATTGCAGTTTTTCACCCTGTTATCCAGTTAGAACTTGCCCTTTCCTAATCAAATTTTGCTCGAGTAAGACCTGAAATCAAATAAATATTTTTTACCAACCATTCCTCCTTTGGAAACAACATCAATTAAAGCATCTTTATAGTTTTCAAACTTCACAAGTACATGAGGGGGCATTTTTAATGATCCATCAAGGATCATAGAAATCAAGTCTCTATACATTTTAGTTCTCTCAACATTATTTTTTTCGTTTACACTCCATGGGAGAAGATTAAAACCCTCCAAGCGAATTCCTCTAGAGATGAGTGCAGAGGTGGATACAGAAACTGGCTCCATGGACATACCTCCATAGGTAACCATAACCCCTTCAAAGGCTAAATGACGTATCAGGTTAGTAGCGCTTCTTCCTCCAACACAATTGAGGGCTAATAACGGTCTTTTGAGGGTCCCCTGTTTGAAAATATCGATTTTTGCGAATTCATCTTCGGTGAAAACATAGGTGGCTCCTAAACTTTTGAGAAAAGTCTTCAATACTTCTATATTAGGCCTGTTCCGAACAATATTGACTGTATTAATACCCCAATGTCGACATAGCTGTATCGCAAAAACACCACACGATGAATTAGCACCGTTTTGTATAACCGTGTCTCCAGCTTGCACTGATACAAAATCTTTCAACAGTCTATACATCGTAGATGGATTTGCTATCATTGTTGACGCTTCAATATATCCCATCATCTTGGGAACTTTGAATAAAATCTTCTCTGGAATTACAAGATGTGTTCGCCAGGTGCCAATAGGGCTTAAAGGTACCACGTGGTCTCCCAATCTCAGTTTTTCAACACAAGAGCCTAGCTTGATAACTCTTGCTACACCTTCAAATCCTGGAACATCAATTTTAATTGGATATATTCCTTGTATCATATTGATATCTACAGGATTGATAGGTGCCATTTTCATTTCCACTAGTACTTCCTTCTGTTGAGGTTCCGGAAGGGAAAATTCTTCCATTCTCAAAACAACTAGAGGATCGCCAGGTTCAGAAAACGTTAATCTTGAAGGCATTGTTTTGTTTCGAAATTATGTGTTACGATCCTGCAATAAACGAATTGAAAAATGTAATATTTTTAAAACGATCAAAATTACCAATTAATTATACTGTGAAGAAGTGGAACAACTAACTAACCAAGTCTCGGGAAAATTTGAAAATGATTCATAGTCGAATGAATTCAGCTGGCGTGGTAACATACTCGTATAAATGGAATATAAGAAAGAAATGAAGGAAACCAAAAACCATATTTTCTATTCTTCTCTTATTTGTTTCAAACTTACACAATATTAAAAAACTTAAAATTGTAATGGAGAAATTTGAACGGATATAGAAATAGTCAATTTCCAATTAATCCCATTGCTTACACGTAAGATACGTTTTTGTTGCAGAAAATGACTACTTTTTTTAAGATTTTATTCCACAATGAACACTTCTCAAACACCAGATCTGCAATACCCTTCTCGAAGCGCGTTTCACCAACCAAGTTGGCGTCTCAGGAGAAGAAGAAAACTAATTAGTTGGAATTAATACCGTGTACCTGTGAAATATATGCTACAATAGATGTAAAAAATCATTTTAACAAACTGAAACATCCATTAAAACTGAATTTTGTTCGGCAAATGGTCTAAAAAATTGTATTACTGAACAAAGGATTTTTCTTTCGTGTAATTCAATGTTTATATGAAAAGAGCTGTTTCAGGAGGGTTTTTTCCAGTTTGTGTCTGAAAGTTGCGCATGATTCACATCTATATATAGAGTTACTTCTTTTAAAATTAATTGCTTCCTTACTTTCTTTGTAAGGTTCCCACATTTTTCTGTATCAAGATGGAGTAGGAGAAAGCCAAACACTTTCCCAAAATGAAAATATTTCTATATTTTGTTGATTTGATTCAGTATCCTGTTGAATTCTTCACATACCTGACAATTAATATAGTCATTTTGAGTACGAAAATTATTCAATTCGAAACATTGAATTTTTCATTGGCTTTTCAAACGAACCAAACTCGGTGAGATTTTGATCCAAAGACGACAACCACATACATAGTTCGATGTGGTTGTCGTCTTTCGGGATACACGTTTAAATACATTTGCGATGTCATAATACTGTTTCTATCGTATTTGTAATAAATTTGTATCATATCTCTTTTTTCTTCATTCGTGAAAGCCATTTTTCGCCAAAAATTCAATGACTTGTACAATAAGAAAATGTCACCGAGTGTAGCAAATTGAAAGACCAATTTAGAAACATCAAAGTCAAAGCCTATTATTATAAGAACTATTTATTTTTTCAATATCTCCAATTTTTCGAAAAAGAATGATAACTTATGATACATCATTGAAAAGGTAAAATCCGATTCTATTCAAAACAGAAAGAATCCAATATAGCGCCCGTAAGAAAAAATAGAGCCTGAAGACGAAACGTCGGGTAGGAAATCTGAAGACACCATTATGTGGTGACATGAATATTTTCGCCCTCTCTCAGACTGCAAGTAGAAAAAAGTTTTCGGAAACCATTGAAAAGCTTAACGAGCCTAGTTCTGGTGGCATTCTACTTCTGTCGGATTATTATTTGAATCTATTTTCATTATAGCAGAAATTTTAGTCAACTTAATTGCTAGAAAGAGAGTTTCGTGTAATTTTTTGATCTCTATATAATATGGCTTTCATTCAAGTGACATGGTCCAAATTCTTCTATGAAATCATTTTTGAAAGTAATTATTATCGTTTTCTGTTTCAATATCAACGGAGTTTGAAACTAAATTCAGTTGTTCAGTTGTTGCCAAAAGATCTCGGGGCATAGAGTGTTCTTTGGTTTAATAACACAAATTTAGGTATTGGTTATCGCGTCTATCCGATGGTTTCATCACCATCTCAAGACATAAAAGACATTAACGCAAAAAATGCTCGTCTTATTGAAACATCTAGTTATTTTGCCATTCACAATTCGATTGAATTGCAGGCTAAAATGGAAAGATCCGAAAAAAGATGCACTTTCATAAGAGGTAGCATCCTAAATCTTCCGTTTCTCGTTGTAATTTGACAAAAAAAACTAACTCCATTTTCACAATGAAGTGTTGAATATATTCGTTGTAATTTCAGTACAATTATTATAAGTGATTAAAAAAAAACTCACCGTGCAAAAATCAGTACACTCGACAAATTAATCAACTACTATGTGATATTTTTAGCAATAATCATTCGATGGTGGATAAATATGCATGGCAAACAAACTATAACAGTCGAAGCACATTGGTTCGGTCTGTACGAATGAAAAACAATAAGTTTCATCTTTTGTCAACAATGTAAAATTCTAGAGGTGAAAGTTGAGCAAACAGAAAGCATCAATATGAAACTAAAAAAATATTTTTTGTGTTTGAAATTATCGTGTTAAGAAATTCACTGTATAAAGATGCATTTGATTTCATTACATGAATGCTCAAGTGTCATTATTCTCTAGGCAAGTTCAGATCAGGATCCACGAATTACGGTTTGAACTACTTGACCATCTGCCTCACTCACCAGATCCAGCCCCAAGCGACTTATTTTTGTTTCTTCATCTAAAGATTGCGCTCGAGAGACAGAGATTTTCGTTGAATGAAGAAGCAATAACCTTGGTAAACAATTATTTTTGCAGAAAAAACGCCGAGTACTATTTGGACGGGTTAAAGAGATGGGAGCATCGCTGGAAGAAGTGTGTGGAGTTAGGTCGGAAACTTTTTAGTTAGATCGTTAACCGACCCCAACTTAACGTCAACAACTTGAACCTCAGGTTTCTAGGAGAACCTCTCCCGCTCCAAGACTCGGTGACCTACCTGGGGGTTACCTTCACTGGGAAGCCGACCTGAGAAATATCATTGACAGAGTCAGGAAAAGAACAAACCTCCTGGAAGCCTTGAGGGGCAAGCTCGGAAGTTGCGACAGCAAGACACTATTACACACCTACAAGATCTACATAAGACAGAACATGGACTGACTATGAAGCGATGATCTACTGCGCAATCCCCCCGAGACTAACACACCGCTTACTAACCACAGAAAGGAGAATAGTACGAAACATACACAACCTACCTTACCGATTCCCCTCCAACGAAGTATACATAACGGAAAAACAGATTTTAAACATATTTTAAACAGATTTAAACATCGTAAAACTAACCCCTATTTCACGAACTCCAAGGCAAATACACCACCAGAACAATCAGAAGCAGCAACACTGGCCATCCCCTGGACTCTCCGTAGGGGCCCAAGGAGGATCCCCAGGAAAAAGCTCCCATTTCGCCCTGCCAGGCTCCTGGGGGATATCCCGGAGCGGTTTCAGGACATCCTCGAAGAGTTTCCGTTGGCAATCAGGTGAAAGACAGCTCACTGCCAGGGGAGGAGATCAGGAATAAATAGTTCTACCTATGCCCCAAGACTCATCAGATCCCGAACCAACCAACAAACCACCTGCAACTACAGAGAGTAGACCCGCTAACCCGACCAACACAGGACAAAAGCACTATAAACATACACAAACACCCGACATCGAGGACTAGATTAAGCTACACACAAAAACAAATAATGTATTTTTTTACTAAAACAGCCCCTGAAGAGGCACTAGCATACAGTAGGGCACCACTTAAAACACATGTAATACTAACTTACCAACATTAAGAGAAAATGAACGAATTCGATCGAGTTGTTAAAAAACTAAGGATCATGCGGTTTTGATAATATTCCAAACCTTCTGGTGAAAATAAATATTACGTTCTTGGATATTTTCCTGACTATCTAAAATTTGGCAAAATTGTATCCACGTTAACGATGTTATAAACTACCAACCTTTCACGGTTCCTAAATTTTTTTCAAAAACCCTTGAATACGCCTACTTACATCAACTTTCTGAGAATCAATTCTATAATTTCTGATAATCAGCATGGTTTCTATGATTGTTCAACAAATCAATTTTGGCAAGTATCCGTGTTAGGAATCACACGTTAAAAGGTAAGTCCTCGTTAGTCTTTAGCTCGCACAAGTTTCTCAATTTCTGAGAGTTGTCGTTCATATGAGGGCGACAGCTGATTAACGGAAAAACAGATTTTAAACTGATCCTGTTGGGATATTTTGCGATCTCAGCAGGGCATTTGATTGTGTTGATCACTATAGATTGTTATATAAATTAGCTGAATACGGAATCAACGGGAATGCTCTTGTCTGGTTACAAACTCACCTTGGTATGTATGCTCACCTTGGTATGTATGTATCCAGATGACCTAAAAACAATATTTCTTCTGCAATGTCTACAAATAACCGAGGTTCACCTCAGGGTTCCGTGTTAGGTCTGGTACTATTTCTGTGTATATAAATGACCTTGATAAATTAATTGAAAATTCTAAGTTTACGTTCTATGTAGATGATACCACTGCGTTAATATCCGCTGAAGAAGATGTTATTGAGGAAATTAGTGACGAAGCGTTGACAAATATGAATAAATGGTTTACTGATTATCATTTGTACCTCAATCCAATCAGAACAAAATTTTTACGTTTCCATCTCCAACAAAATTGTTGTGGAGATATTTCCATCAATGAAACATTATTTCAATCGGAGACCAGGTGTTAGGTGAAGTTTCTGGCACTCTATATTAAAAATACGCTCAACTGATACGCTCATTGTGTAAAATCAACTTTCAAATTCTATTTCCAAAATTATCTTATGAAAAATCTCAAAATTGTTTTGTCAAAAAAATAGCTCATTGCTGTTTATTATTGACAAATTGACTCCCGAATACGTTGTGGTATCTGCGTTTGGGTTGATCTCCACACTTGTATGTTTTCATAACGCAGAAGCGAATTATTAGCTGTAACTAGTAGGTCTCGCTGCAATGCAAGCAAAAAATTACCTTTATGTACCTTTTACAAAAACAGTAATTTCTCATAAATTTCTTACTGAAAAAGCCACCTACATTTTTAAACATTGTCTCGACTTTTTGTGTGTATGTATATGTAAGAATTTGTATATATAACATGTCAAGTTTCAAAGTTTCGAATCATAAGTTTCATCTTAAGTAGTTTTAGTGTTCATAACCATGTCGACTGCCCCTATACAATTAATTAGTTGCCAAAAATGGTAATAGAGGGTCATTTGCACCATTATCATTATCAACGCTCGAAAAAAGTTAAACGAATTCTTTTCGTTTTTATCATCAATGAGTTTGATTTGGCGTTCATTTTTATTGTTCGACTTTTCATAGTTTGGGCGTATTTTTGCCAACTGAAAAATAGATTAAATACAATTAATTAAACCCGTGTCCTATTTATCGAACTGCTACCCGTCTACTCCAAAGTGATGGGAAAGCCGACATTGAAGTCATTAAACCTCTGGAAGTTTCGAAGACGATAAATAACCACCAACAGTGTCAGTCAATCGAAAATCTAGTTTGAATGAAGCTCAATAGAGGATATGGGATATATCCAAAGAATTATTTCAGATAAGTTCATCTATCCATATCTCAATTTATAAAATCCGTAAAAAATCATTTGGAAAATTACCCTCACAACTTCGTTTATTGCTTTCACTTTTCCATGATTTGCACGTGCACGGCATGAGGCTAAAATTCATTTTATAACAAATGATCTTCCAAAAATTTAGCATGGGCTAGCAGTGTGTAATCTTCTATCAGTATCACAGAAACACCTAGTTCAAAATTGTTTTATGATTTGTTTAGTACTGAATCAAAACTTAAATGGTGATAAAATTTCAATACGTGAATAGTTGCTTATGTCCAGAATAGCTATTCGATAAAACGATAATAAACACAATATTACCAGCACCATAAATATTCTGAACGGATTCTATCCTTCACAGCAAAAAATATTCCGCAATTTTGCTTGTATCTCCTCAAAAAGAATTCATGTATCAAATTATTATGGAGAAAAACTAATATAACCAATATACCAAATTGATGAAAACGCTAAATTACTTCTACGTGGCATCTATTTTCGCGGAAAATATGCGCGAATTTGAAGACATGCTTTTTTTCACAGTGGAGGATATATTACCGAAGATCCCCCTTTATATAACGGGTCTGAAACTGACGACAAATGGAAAATTGCAGAAACTTTTAATGATTTTTTGCAGAAATTGGCCTAAACCTTGCTAGAAACATCATCAAACCCCCTACCTCACCACCAAGTAGGAAAATAAATCCAAATTCGTTCTTTTCACAACCTGTAAACGAAACTGAAATTATCAAAATCAGAAAAAGGAGTCTTTTCTACAGAATTCAACACTGCAGTTATCAAAAGCATTCACAAAAAAGGATGTGAAGTCACTCTCTCAAACTATAGACGTATTAGTAACTTCACTAAAATTTCAGAAAAAATTATCAAGGTACGACTTCAATATTGTTTAGACAAGAGCAAAATCATTTACCACAATCAGTTTGGCTTCCAAGTAAAAAGATCAACGGAAGATCTCATCAGTTACTACAAAAATGTACCATGCAATAGAAAGTCACAGACCTGCAATTGGAGTATTCCTTGATCTTGCAAAGGCCTTCGACACTGTGGACCATACTCAGCTGTTGGAGACCTTGCAAGATGTGGGAGTTCGTGAAAATGTTTACAGTATATTTGAATCATACTTGAAAGACCGCCGGCAATGCGTAAAAATAGATGGTTATGTGAGCAAGGAGAGGGTAGTACAGTGTGGAGTTCCACAAGGGACGATTTTGGGACCGATACTATTTATTATTTACAGCAATAACTTGTTAACAAACCTCTAGCGAAATTATAAGTTTTGTTGACGATACTGTAATTTTTTATTCTGGTGAAACATGTAATGACCTCAAAGTTGAAATTGAACAAGATCTAAACACAATCATCGACTAGTTCAACCATAAATTGTCAACTATCAATTTTGAAAAATCTATGTTTCTGCCTATCACAAGTTATATAAACAGTTTACCCAACTACAAATTTCTAGAAGTGAAGAACCATAGCAATATTTTAAGAGTAAAGTCTACAAAAAATGTTAAATATTTAGGGATCAAAAACGACTGTCATTTACGTTAGGATTATCATATAGATAGTGTCAGTCATCTATTTGTTCAAACACAAAAAACTAATGAGCTTGATTATATATCGCATAGATATCTCACGAGAGCAAAGGACTCCAGCAAATTTAAAATTCCAATTGCAAGGAAAACGATAGGTCAAAAATGTCAAGCATTCTTAGCACCACGATTTTTCAATTACCTACCAAGAGAAATTGTCGAATCATACTATCTTTTTTAATTAAAAAAAAATATTGTTTATTGTAGTTTCAAGAAGCTGCTCTATTTTTGTACATTGTTTATATTGTCACCAAGAGAATGCTAATAAACATATTATTATTGTTATTATTATTTACAGCAAAAAATATAACACGAGCATACATCTCTACGAAAAGCTAACCTAACAATTAACATATGCACACCACAAAATAAATGGTGATCAGGCAGTTACCTTGAATGTGCAAGTGAATGAAATACAATGAACAGTCCAATGGCGTTCATATAATTATTACCATATTTAAAGTACAATCATCTTTTAGAATTCGTTCAAATAAATAACTTTATGAGTTATTGACTATCTGAGTTGGATATCGAAATGACCCTTATGAACTTTACCATGCTATCAAAATTTATTTATACTCATGAGATATACGACTGATACAAATATAATCATCAATTTCAGCGAGTTCAAAAGTTACAATTAAAATAGGTAATCTAATTTCTCAAAAATATCCCTGAACTTGTGAAGACCTAATCTTTCACAACTTGTTTAACCTTCACATTTTATTATTGAACTGGACACCATAGTCCAATATATACTTCTTGCCAACCATACCGTTTTTCGAAAGAGTATTTTTGATGGCATCTTTGTAGTTCTCGAAACTTACAAAAACATGAGGTGGTGCCTTGAGTTCCCCTTTTGAGAGCAACGAAATAAGGTCCGTGTACATTTTGGCTCTTTCAGTAATATTGTCCTCGTTCTCGTACCAGCGATTGATACTGAAACCCTCTAAACGGATGTCTCTGAAAATGAGTGCAGAGGTAGGCACAGAAACAGGTTCCATCGACATGCCCCCGTAAGTAACCAAAACCCCACCGAAGTCCAACTGACGTACTAGCTGAGTTGCACTTTTTCCGCCTACACAATTCAGGGCTAGTAATGGTTTGTCGAGGGCCCCCGATTTGAATATATCGGTTTTTGCGAACTCTTCTTCCGTGAACACGTAGGTGGCTCCTAAATCCTTCAAAAAGTTTTTCAGTTTTCCTATATCCGGTCTGTCCCTGATGACATTAACTGTTTTGATACCCCAAATTCTGCATAGCTGAATAGCAATGACACCACAAGCAGAATTAGCACCGTTTTGCACAACCGTATCGCCAGCCTGTAATTGTACGTAATCTTTCAACATTCGGTACATCGTAGGAGGGTTGATGGCCAATGTCGCCGCCTCCGCCAGTCCCAGCTCCTTGGGAACTTTAAGTAACACCGCTTCTGGTAGAGCCAAATGAGTCCTCCATGTACCAACGTATTTCATGGGTACCACATGATCCCCTACTATTAAATTCTCAACATGAGATCCTACCTTAACAACTCTAGCTACACCTTCATAACCTGGCGCTTCCGTGTGCATCGGATATTTTCCTTGAATAATGTTGATATCTACAGGGTTGACAGGTGCTGCCAACATTTCGAGAAGTACTTCTCCATCTTCCAGGTTTGGTAAAGGACAATCTTCTTTTCGTAAAACCTCGATAGGATCTCCTGATTTTGAATATGTCAGTCTTGAAGGCATCGTCAATTGAGTTATTTGGCAAATAGATCTAATAAGTCCTGAAATGAAAAGTTAGTTTGACATATTTTTTTAATGACGTATATATATTGTTCTCACCTCGAACCCTTACAAAAGATGTATTGTAGGTTAGACTGTCATGTTGCGAAAGAAAACGAAGTATCAACATGCGTATCAGATGTGTCGACATACCATTTGAATAAATGTTAGATTATATTCAAGTGGACGATAACCGCGAACAGAATCATGGGCGTATCGAAAATACTGCAACGGGGATTCAAACACCAATCATAACTGACGAATGGAAGAACAATTTTCATGATTTTTAATTTGTCTCCGACCGGAATAGCAGAATTACTATTGAAACATTTGAAAAATTGATAAAAAAACTGAAGAGCAATCAAATTGACGACGTATGTGTTTTGGCTGGTATCCGGGTTTTTGCCGTGGTTTCAATCTCCAAACGTTTCAACTGAAACTGCGGTAGTAATATCTTCAGTGGTATGGTCGAAGTATTCTTCTGGACGTTTCAACTGAACGACGTAGGTTTTGTTAGGTTGTGGCAGTTGCCACGGTGCGCAGCAGAAAGACAACTGAGGTTGTGACATTTGTGATTGTGCAAGCAAACATAATTGTAATGTCATATTAGGAGTAAAGTGAGCTATAATCTATCTTAGCGTTAGTTGCAAGGCCGCGGTCAAGAAGATTGAATCTTTCACAAACGGAGCCATGATGTAATTTGACTACGGAATATTGCGAATCAACGAATTATAATTGAAGAAGAAATCTCACGAGAGGAACGCCGTGTTCGGTGAAGCAAGATCCATTGTTCTTGCAGTAGATTCAATATTTTGGCTGTCGAGCTACTGTTCTATTGTTTGAGAACTAAAATTTACTGCGAGCCCAGTTTACTTTCTGTAATAACTATCAAATAACAGTAAATAAATAGTGGCAATATGTTTCTATAAAATATATTTTCAACTGTTTTTTGACTAAAATCCACTGCTAAGCATGAAAATGACTTGGTAACGGATAAAGTTTCTGAAAGAGGTAAACACTACATTTATAGCAAATTGAACAATTTTCACAGAAATCTCAGTGTTCCGTGATTTGAGCCCGGCTTCATGATCTATACTCTATAATATTTTCACTGTGAAATAAAACAGACTAAATAATGAAATCTCCTGAGAAATATCATTTTAGATAGTGATTCTTACAAACATTTTTACCGTTACTTTCCTATCACCAACCCTCAGAAGTTTCTAAGAGACTTATAGTGAGGTAATAGCACTACATTTAAACTTATATTTCACACAAAACCGCAAATAGTGCTCGAGGTTCTGTCCAAGAATAAAACATCCATATAGTTGATAAGCGATAAGAGCGAGGATAAGTGTAATTAATTATATGTCGCCAGAAGTCGTTGGCATATTACTTCATATTATCAGTATAATTTTTTGTTTTGGTACACGGAAAAACTGTATTGAGATGAAAATCACTTATCAGCAACAACAAATGAATCTACCTATAACTTAAGGTGGTTGGCCGATCGCTAGTTGAAAAATAACATCCATATCCATACTAGACTGAATATTTTGTTATTCAACTCGAATAACAATATCTAGTTTTTAAGTTTTTGTGGGGAATACAAAAATTATTTCGCGTTAGAGTATCAACATTTTTGAAAGTGGAAACTCGAATGCAATCCCAGACAACTTACTCATTAGTTAGGTATCCGATAAAAAAATGAAATCTGTTTAAAAAAAATCTGTTTAAAATCTGTTTTTCCGTTAACCAGCTGTCGCACCCCTACGAACGACAACCCTCAGAAGTCGAAACTTGTGCGAGCTGAGGATTAACGAGGTCTTACCTTTTTAACGTGTGATTCCTAACACGGGTTGGACGATAGCAAGTGAAGATCGATCGTTCAGACTAGGGCTTGAACCACCGACCAACACGGCAGTCAATTCGAGTGAGTGAACAAAGCACCCACGCCGAACCGCTTGGCTACCGACTGACAAAAGTACATAAGACTTTTTTGCAAGTAAATACAACAAATATTATTCTGAGGAAATAATAAAAAAATATTTATTACAAAAAGGTAATATACAATTGAAAAATTCATAAAGGCGCAATTTTTATTGACAAGTCCTATCGATATTAAAAATATGACATCTCTTACCTCCAACATAATTGCAGTATATAATCTTTTAATCTTTTCTACACCACCACCCTGCACTTAGTTGCCGTTTTGTGGATTTATAATTCAATCTCTCTTCGGAGTTACCTATTATATTAACAACTAAATAGTTCTATTTGCCAATGCAACCAAAAATGGCACTTTGCCTTCAATTTTCGTAAACTATGGAATCTTCTAACCCCTCTGATTCCGCCTATGAACTGTATACTGATGTGTTAATACCAAGACCAATGTGAAATCGCTCATTTCAAATGCTGGTACATCTACTGTGCGGTAGATGTCACTAGGCAGAGATGATGCGTGAAAAGATGGTGAATTACATGTACATTTGAATAAATAGAATGTATATCTGATTACATTAAAGTTGATTATAATTATTTCCAGTTAACACCAAAAATTTCGATACGTTTTTATAATTCCTGTAGAGTTAACACAAAATATCTCTTATACACCTTTGTGGAGTAGTTGGTAGAACACGCGACTTGTAAATCGGAGTCCATGGGTTCAAGTCACACATTTTCATTATAAACATCGAATACAGGTTACGAAAACTGGGAAACCTTATGAGATTATCGGTGAAGACTGATGCAAGCATTCAGAAGAAAGATGGTAGATGATCTAGCCTTCGTAGGAATGCTTCTATTTTTGACAACATTGAAATTCGTGATCAATGTTTTCCTTTAAGAACGGTCTATTACTCATTCATATTTCCTATATTTTACAAAGTACTTTAGTTTGACGATTTTGCGTGATTGATAATCTATAGCAACAAAGACATAGTTCCTACATTTGGATATATTTCACAGAAAATGGTTTGTTCAAATTAACTCATTTCCAATCACATATGAAAAATAAACCAATTTCCAACATTTGAAAAAATATTCAGTAACGGAGAGTTATTTAATTCTAATTGATCATTCAGTAAATTACCCGAAATCTATTGATTTCTAAACATTCTAGAAGATTGAGTTTCAAACTCTTCGTATTTATGATTGAACTCATGTCCTTCTGCTAATAGGTGGTTTGCAAATGTGGAATTGGTCTTTCTATTTGCAAAATTACTTCTATTCTTTAATTCTTTGGGAAAATGTTCTTCCAGTTTGGCCAATATACAGTTTTGGACAAGAGCCACAAGTCAGCTTTTCAACTGCCTCAACTAAGTGATCCTCAATGTGCAGGTTCTCGTAATAAATTATGTGTTCTTGTGTGTTCTTATTTGATTGAAAAGTTGCTTGGCTAAAGTTGTCAATGTTGGACTGGTCTGATAGTTTAGCCTTTGTGAGACGGTAGTTGGTTGGTTATCGTGAGTGGTTCATTCTACTCACCCATTCCCCAGGTGTTCCCCAGGGATCCATATTGTCTCCAACCCCCTTTTTATTATATAGCAACGACTTATTGGAAAAAACCAAGAATCCAATATACTGATTTGCTGACGACAGCACACTTGTCTCGTCATTCCATTTGGCTTCCAGGACATCGGTTACGGAGGCACATCTTCACCGGCAGCAGTAGGTTGCAAATCTTAATGAGCATCTAGAAGTGATTTCGAATTGGGGTGAAAGTAACCAGGTTCAATTCAATGCCACAAAAACCCAGGAATTAGTTTTCTCCAAGAAGATAAATGTCTCCGAACCGGATATAACAATGTCAGGTCAGACAATTCCGCTTTCTGCTTCGATAAGTTTGTCGAGGGTTACAAAGGACACCAATATGTCTTGGCACAATCATGTCCCTGAAATTGCAAAGGCTGCTTCTCAAAAGCTTGGAACACTGTTACGAACCAGAAAACTGTACACACCTCAGCAACTGTTGATGCTTTATACAGCTCAGATCAGACCTTCTTAGGAGTATTGTTCTCATGTATAGAGCTGTACCCCTAAGAATATCCTCAAGCTACTGGATTCCATCCAGAAAGGAGCCATTTGCTAGATTGGAGACGTGCAACCTTGACAGTCTTGAACATCGAAGAAAGGTTGGCGATTTGTCACTCTTCTACAAATACTTTCACGGAAAGTGATCAAATGACTTGGCACATTTGATTCCACCAAAACCGGTACATATCAGAAATACGCGATGAACTGTGGCTGCTTATCGTTTTGAGGTTCAACTCACTTTTTAAGAACGCTTTCATCTGGAGAACTGCGTTTATGTGGTCTGAGAACGTTTTTCCAAATGGATACAATCTCCAGCGATTCAAATCCAATGTGAATCACTACTTTCGCACAGGCGCCCGCTCTGAGAGCGCCTTAAGGATTTTCCTGTAGTGCTTGTGTTCTGTCCTTAAAAAAATTGGAACGGTGGTTCGAGCCCTACGGCCGGACTGTCAATTTTCACTGCGTATCATCCAATCCATGCAAGATATCGCACGTTATAAGGTGAAATATTGTTAATGATTGGCTGGTTCAAATTTCGATTCCTGGGGGTTGTCGTTTAAGGGGGTAACAGCTGGTTAACGGAAAAACAGATTTGGAGATTTCAGATTCAACAGAGTCTCGAATTATTTAATGACTGTTCATTGATTCGTACTAGGAATTCGTCACTGCTATTCCCATATCTAAATCTTTTTCTTCGCAAGACACTTCAAGAAAAGGAACCTACGGAACAGCAGTATATTATATTTTTATTCCTTATGAAATATGAGATGTATTCGCGCCTCGGCGGAATCAAATGCACAGAACCGTAGTATCCGAAATACATTCTCTCCGACGCTTAGCCGTCGAAAAATTGACATTATTTCGCAATAAATTACGCAAAATTGTACCCTCGACGAGTATATGGGAAAAATATCGGGACGGGCGATGTACGCCCCTCGCGAGTTTTGCATGTGAAAAGGTGACAAATACACCGTTTGAGTGCTATATTGTTCGGAATCGGGGGTATGTCTAGGGCCTACTTCTTTCCGCGCTTTATTCTTTTACGTTTGTAACGAGTTAAGTTTTAGTCGTGACGATGGTGGAAAAAAATTGGGCTCATTGTTTCGAAGTGGAATGGCATAAGTCTATGAACGAAA